ACTATAGAAATTACATTTTCAAAGATCATATGTCTCGATCTTCGGGTTTCCCTTGTCTTTTGAATGTATGACAACTGAAGATGGAGACATAAGATCTCTGAAAACGTTCATTCTACAATGTTAATATTTCATATTTCTGTTGGAGTTTGGGTATTTTATGTAAGTTGATTGTTTCTCCAGTTAAATAATCATTTTTATTTAGTATCTTATTAATATAACTTAACTTTAGATCACCAGAAAAGTTTGGCTAGATTTTTTTAAAAATCAGAGTAGGAGGTGTCAGAAGAAAGTTTTTGACTATACTAAGTTTATTCTTGTAAATCCATTATAAATGGAATAACAATAAAATTATATGTAATAGTTAATATAATAATAGAATTACATGAATAAGTAGGAGACCCAAGTATAGGGTTGTTCACAAAGTTTGTAGCAATTTTTTTTCTCATATCTGACAGTTGATACACTGGATGGGTGAAAATTATTACAATTGTATAAATCAATTAATATTACAAAAAAATGACAAATGTAGTCCATTACAAGACAAATTAAATGTTACAAAAAAAATCTATTAAAATTATTTAAATTATCTTAATAAATTTCTTGTAATGGATGTATAATTTCTCTTGTTGCAAAAATGGAAACAAGTTATAACAATCCTTTTATTGACATTCTTACAATTTGTCTGCAACTTACAACACATTCGAAACAATTTTTAGTACATTACCAATCTCTCTCTGCAGATGTCACGTTCCGCTTTTTACTACCGCACCCACCCACTAGCATCACACCATGGAAAAAATCCCGAGAGATCCATTACAAAGTTGCATTTTCAACATTTGTTCCTTTTCTTCTATTGAAAAGGCAAAAATCCTGTACAAACAGCAAAAGAATTATGTGATGTGTATGGTGAGAGTGCTGTAGCAAAATTAACTGTTTGAAAGTGGTTTGTTAAATTTAAAGCAGATAATTTCAACCTTAAAGATGCTCCATGCACAGGAAACCAGCTGTTATTGAAGAGGACCAGATTAAAATATCATTAGATGACAACTCTTGTTACACATCTTGAGAGATAGCAGACATAGTGAAGTCACCAAACAATACTATATTTCAACATCTGGAAGAAGCTCAAATATTAGAATCATTATGACATTTGGATACTTTATGGCTTAACAAAAAAGAACTTACTGGATTGCATCTTCATTTGTGATTCTCTTCAAAAACAAAATGAAAATGACCCTTTTCTGAAATGTCTAGTAACAGGTAATGAAAAGTATATTGTTTATAACAGCATTGGCTGAAAATGATTGTGGTACAAGAAAAACTAACCACCATTAAAAACTCCAAAGACTAGTCTTCATCTGAAGAAGGTCATGTTTTCCATCTGGTGGGATTGGAAAGAAATTCTATGCTATGAACTGCTTCCACAGAATCAAATAATTGATTCCAACTGGATTAACTGAAAATGACAATTGAAGAAAAACATCTGGAATTGGCCAACAGAAAAGGCATTGTGTTTCATCAAGATAACAGATCAAACACTTCTTTACAAACATGCCAAAAATTATTGGAACTAAGCTGGAATGTTTTACCTCCCCATACTCACCTGATCAGACTACCATTTGTTCGAGGTTTGCAAAATTCTCTGTGATAAAAACTTTGATAGTTGGAAGCTTGAGAAAAAAAAACCATGTGAAACAGTTTTTTGTGGGAAAAAACTAGGAATTTGTATAAAGAGGGTATTATGAAGCTTCCCCATAGATAGTAACATGTTGTTAAAAACATCAGTCTGTACATAATTTAATAAAGCTATTTATTAGCTTTAAAATCATTTCTTTTGTTTCTCTTAAAAATTGCTATTAACTTCCTAAACAACCCAGTATTTCTCTCATTAAACAGCAGTAATTATAATTAAATTGTTTACTGTTTGTTATACAGAATGATCATAACTAAAGAATGGGTGTTCGAAGCTCTCTGTGGAAAGAATTATTGAGTAAATCTCAATCTATTTTGTTTAAAGTTACTCTATTGGATAAATCACAACCAAATTTGGTGTACATATTGTCCTGAATATGAAATTTGATTTTTGGAAAAAAGATTTTTATTTCAAAATTCAGATAAAATTTTGCTATCTGAATTATCTCATTTCCAAAGCACAAAGTCATTTTCCTAAGATTCCCAAATGATGTAGGACCTCTTCATAAATCTTTAAGTATTGAGCTGGCATTATTGTTTCATTGAAACAAGCACTTCATAATCAAGGTAAAGTGAGCACTTTGACAGTTTACCTATCAAAGAAATGTGAAAAAAAGTATGCAACTCCTTTTATATCCAAAATTTGCTAGAAAATCTACATAATGTCTGTATTAAGGCAACAGCAATGTGAAATTTCATAACACCAGCTGAATTTTGAAGTAAAATTTTTCCCAAAAATTAAAATCACACACTCATGATTGTAAGTAAATCAAATTTGGTCAAGGTTTGCCCAATAGTTCTCTCTACAGAGAGCTCATAGCACCTATTCTTTAGTTATGTTCACCCTGTACATTTTAGTTTCAGTTGGTAAAAACTGTTTATTTTATGTTTATGTTTAAATGTAATATTTATTTCATTGCAATGAAATTTATTAAGTTTAGGTTCAATTTTTCAACTTTATTATAATTTATTATCTTTCAGTCACTTTCTATGATCAACTAGCAGTTCTTCAGGCATTTTTCCTAACTTTGTGTGTTACAATAAGTTTGACCTTGTTCACATTTCAATCAAAATATGATGTATCATCTTGGGGAGGAGGGTGAGTTTAAATTCTTGAAATGACTGTATTAAACATTTTTCATAAACATTTATGTAAAATTTTCTTTTTTCAGATTATTTTCCATCTTGTGTATTTTATCTATTGGTATGGTTTTGCAGGTAAAATTGTTAAAAGTGTATTTAAAACATTATTTAAATTATAAATTGGCTTATTTCTAGACACCAAAGTCAAAATAGCACACATTTCTAATAGAAATAATCATTATTTTGGTTTCTCTCAGATGCAATACAGTTGTAAGAAAAAAACAAAAAAATAGAAAACTCTCTCCATCTCTTTGTGACAGAAACAATCACATTTAACTTCAGCAACTATTAATGAGCCAATCTTTAATTTAAATATTTTTGTATTTTTGAATAAAACATGAATATTACTAAACTTTATAATTTTCGCAGATGTTTACTGGAAGTACCCAAATGGAGTTATTTTTATCAATTGGAGGAGCTATTCTCTTTTCTCTCTTCATCATTTATGATACACACATGATTATGCATCGTCTGTCTCCAGAAGAGTACATCTTAGCTTCTATTGATCTCTATCTAGACATTATTAATTTATTTTTTCATTTGTTGAGAATTTTGAGCCATTCACGGAAAAGTTAAACGATGTCCGTAGTTCCGAACGAATTCTTTAGAATTGCATTTATCAGTTTTGACAAAATTAATGATTGGTCAGAATGATTCAAATCAAAATTAGATCAATTTTTTTCTATTTAATTTCAATATATTTCTTTATTAAATTAATTAAACTTTTGTAACATTAATTTAAAGACTTTCAAGGATTGTATGGTATATAACGTTACATAATAAATATGCTTATTATTATATCTAAAAAATAGGCTTATTTATTGTAAAAGAATTATCTATTCTATTAATATTTTTCTTATTTGTTTTTTTAAAAATATTATTCAGATAATTTTCATTTTTTTCATTTTAAATTACTTGTATTAATATATAGCCAATGTTAAATAAATTATATAATCCATTATTTTATGCTAGATTTAAATCATAAAATACTGCAAACTAAACATTAAGATTAGAGATTTAATCGACAGAAATGTTTTCAGTTATGTTTAAATAATAAAGACTATTATTATTAAAACATTTTATCATTTTGGAATTTATAAGTATGAACTTTTTTAAAAATAAAACAAGATAAAAAAAAAAACATAATTGGAATTCTAACAATTAAAATTTTATTAACAATAAGTTTTAAAGTTAAATACCTATAAATATGAAATTTAAACAGTTAAATTTAATCACCTTAATTTTTGTGTAATAATCTTATCTCTAATTTAATAATAAACTAGTTTAATGCAGGTGACTGTTTACAGGGTTTATGAATTACGGTTGTGATTCGTATATCTGCTAGTTGCAGTGCTTCCATTATCACAGTGATGCTAGAGTTTAGACTAAATATACCAGTAACTAGTAGAGAGTATTGCAAAGCAATCTTGAGTCTTTGTAATAGACAATTAATGAATTTTCTATAGAAAGTTTATATGTGACTTATTCAAAACGTATCCAGACTGATATTTGTAAAGAAATGTACTGGACTTATCAAAGTTTTGTGTTAGTCGCCTTCAATGTATGCCTCTCCTGCAGTGACACACTTGGCCCAACAATCTTGTCATTGTTGAAAATATTTATGAGAGTCTTCTTTAGAGGTGGCCTTTGTGGAATTCCATTTAGTGTCCACAACAGCATAAGATTGATGGCTTTCAAGAACTTTCATCAGTTTTGGGAATAGGAAGGATTCCTCTGGAGCCAAGTCTGGAAAATACAAAGGGTGTGGTAGTATGTTGTTCTATATTTTTCCTCTGGATGGTCTCCTCTAAATGTCTCAGAATCTAATTGTAGAATTATTTGAATTGTTTGTCCTGATAGAACACACTCATGCTGGATAACAGCTTTACAATCAAAGAACCCATATTGAATGTTTAAAAAGTATTAGGTTTTTATAAATTATAAAAAGATTTGCTAGATTTTAAAACTTTACATATGCAGTGTGAAAGTGGGGTCATAAAGCTGTTGCGGAAAGTTTTGAAAACCACTAATTATGAACCTCAGTTAGAAAAATCACATTAAATAAACAACAAAAAATTTTCCATTAAACAAAATACTTGTTTCCATTATAATCACATTAATATTTTCTTTACACTTATATAGAGTTTATTGTTATTTTTCAGAAAGTTAAAATTTGTAAGCATTTTTTCTTATTTTGAATTATACAAAATGTTCCAACATTTTGGAGTTAATAAATTTCAAATTCAATTTTGACCACCTTTTGAAAAAGGTTTGTTGTATGTGATGAGAAACTCCTCCTCGATTGATGTTTTGTCTCTGGTGCTCCCATAGGGACTCTCCATAAATTACATAATACTTTTTATACATCTCACTCTCCATAATGCTGTTGTACATGACTGAGGATAAGCATTACATAATTTTGGAGACAATCTCCCTTAATTGTACTAAGGAATAACATATGACACAGGATATAAACATTACATTACTTTATTAATTTTATGTATGACATACAAAGCAGTGACAAACATTTTGTTATGCAATACTTTTTTATACTATATCTTGATTAATAACACAAATGATACAAAAATCAATTCCATTAAAGGAATCCACTGTTTATTGTCATTTTAGAAAGTTTTTAAGTGATAAAAACATCTTTCAAGACTCTATCATAACACTAAATAACCTTTACTTCTGGTGACAAACCTTAAATAAATCATCAAACGAATTCTTTTGACCTTACCCAAGATCTACTTCAGGTTATAGAACAATTCCAAAACTGGAATGCTAGGAATAGAACGTTTTTGAACATTAAATTAACATTAACACTCCATCTCATTTTCAATATCCAATGAGAAAATTTATTCTTTAAATTAAATGCTAATGTTCTAAAATGAACAAATGCCACTATTCAAATTTCACTTTAATGCATTTGAACTAAATTTATGTAACTTTTTTAAACCAAATGATAAAGTTTCAAAAATGTACATAAATGCCATTTCTTATTCAACTTTTGCCATAAATCATTAGAACCTGTTACGTAAATTTTAAAGTCTGTTCCAATGATTTGCAAAATTTGTATAGGAAATGGTATTTATGTTCATTTTTGGAACATTATCATTTGGTTTAAAAAGTTATGTAAATTCATACCGAAGATGAGACAATAATCTTGAAAGATGTTTTTGTCACTTAAAAACTTTCTAAAACGGTAATTAAAAGAGGACTCTTTTTAATGGAATAGCACTTTTGTATTATATGTGTTGTTTAATACTCTTTTCTTGTGTTTGCCTTTTGGAGAATTAGACAATGAAAGTCAGCCAAATCTGGGTTGTTGTCAGTATTTGATGAAAAAGCTACTAATAGATTAATCCCTTCATATTTAACAAATGACACTAGTTGATTTAAAGACTAGCATTATGCAGTGTTTTTGTAAACATTCCCACCCCTTGTTACATATTGTAATAACTATCTACATATCTACCCACACATATTTGCTTTACATAATTTATGGACAACCCAATCTCATAAACCCATGATTTATCACCCGAGATGAGTTATTTTAAGAACCATTTGTCACGTGAATGGCTCAAATAAGTCAGTCTTCACATTGCTCCTCTGTTACCAAATTTCAGCACAAAGTTTGCAGAATCGTAGATTAACATGCTACAAATCTACCAAAATAATGATCTCTGGGGATCTTTTGCACAGTTAATCAATGATCATTTCAGACAAGAGTTCTGACTGTGTCAATTGTTTCTTCATTTTGTGATTTGGATGACTCTCCAGAACATGGTCCACTTTAGACACATTCTCTTCCCTCTAAAGCAATGGAATTAGAAAATAAATTCACACCTTAGAAATCATTAGAAAGTTAATAATTAGGAAGGTTTGAATTTATTTACTGACATTCCTTCCAGTTTCCATACTTTGTTACATAGCAATGGAATTTTCTTAAAATTTGAAAATGACTCATGGCATCATTTCCATAGGCTATTTTTCAATAATTTATCTTTCCTTACCAGTTTTGCCTATTTTAAAGAGAACTCGATGTACACATTTCTCTGTACTCTGATATATCAAAATTGCTGCAAAGCCAAGAGATATCAAATTTAACGACTGAATGCTTATACAGTATATGTATATCTACAAAATGCCATGTGCGTACAGTACATTGCTATGAATTTGTAAAAGCACGTCTGGCTAGCATGGCTGGACAGCTGACATGTTACTGCCTTTGCGTTACAGGGCCAATCTGGACACTTTTTGAATAAGCCACATATTTAAATTGCACGGATCTCTCCAGTAAATAAAATCATCACTTAAATAACAATTACTTTTTATTAAATTACTGAGTTGATAATTTAACAATTAGAGCCAAAGGTTGGAAAATACAAGCAGTTGTTTTAAAATTTGTACTTTAAAGACAATAGACTTTTTTTAATTATCAAAGTGTAATCATTTACAGAAAGTGATTTCATTTTATGGAAATTTAAGTTTTTCTATTTCTAATTCATCATAATTCATTTAGGCTTAATTTTAAGACAGATTTTTGTTTTTTAGATGCTGCATTGTTAATAAAATAATCATTGACAATGTATTTTAAAAATATAGAAGTTTAATAAAGTATTTTTACACAGTTCTCACAATATACTTCTGAAGTTTCATTATTTTAATATTTTGTATACATATAAATTATTGGAGATGTGTTAGTTTTCTATTTGTTTTTGTTGACTCTGGACGAAACTTTTCTATTTGTTTGTCTTGTAAAAGAGTTGATACCTAACCTAAAGAAGGAATCGGAAAAGTAGCCAAATATATAAATGTTTTTCGTTGCTTTCTCATATTTGGGCACGGTGAAAATCATGCTTGAAAATAATGGATTAGCTAAAAATGTTTGCATATTTGGTTTTTTTCCCCTATTTATTAAGCAATTTATATACATAATTTATTTTTGAAGCATTGGTGATTGTTATTTCATTAAAATTTCAATATTATTTTTATGCTGTATCTTGATTTTAGTTTATAAAAATTTAGCTTAATAAATTATCTTCATTCTGCTTATCCTAAACTTGCTATGGGTTGTTGCACATCTGCTCCATATACAGAAGATAGTTGTTTTAATTAAGCAGACATTTTATTGCCAGATGCTCTTGCCAACATCTATTCTCCTTTTACCCAGACTTAGGAGAACTTGTCAGATGTACCGTGTCTGGGAGGAATTAGCAAGGGCACTTGATCTTTCCCACTGTTTCCAACCGCACTGTCTAACTTTGGTAATCTGATGTGAACTTACACATGTGGCAAAGTCATTGACTTTATATAAAATATTAAGATAAAGGCAATTTGCAAATACTTCACTATTACAAATTAAATGCTGTTTGAGTAATTTTCTCCATTAAATATAGCTAAAGTTGGGTTAAATACAAAACCTTACTGTTGATTTTCATGTCTAGAATAGTATATTTTATATTAAGAAATAATTTTTTCTGACCATTGAGAATGAATTTAAAAATTTAATAAAAATAAATAAATAAATAGGCATAATTTTAAACCAAAAATGAATAATGTATAAACATTATTCATTTTGTATTAAAACTTGTATATAATAGTTAAATATAAAAATAAAGTAGTCAAAGTAACCGAAATTAAATGTTATGTATAAGTTATTTAATTGTATTGATAAAGATTTTAATATAATTCTGATAATTTATATTTTTCCTGGCATAATTCATATTTGTCTTTGAGAATTATTGAAAATTATTTATATAAATAACAATTGTGTAAATATTAATATATAAAAATATTTAATAAA